GTAATAATTCTGGAATTAATAATTGTTCTTTAGAATATAGTAATATCCAAAATGCATCTATGAGTATTACAGCCGAATCCTCGAGGGAGTATAGACAATTTTCTTTAGATTTTCAGTTCGAGGATTTATTTCACATAGTCGATGGTACAGTTAAAATGAATAAATCTTATAAAGAAGCATTTTTGAAGTGTTTTAGGAAAGCTGCGGTATATCCTTGCGATTTGAACTTCGTTATGCAAGTGTGAAAAAAACTAGTGCTCATATAAAAACTTATTGCCCAAGAATCGCATGAATTTTAATGTTAATTTCATGTAAAATTTGATCCTGATCAAAAATTATTGAAAAAGTTTTAATCACTCCGAAGGTAAAGTTAATCATGGAAATAACTAATCCAATTATTAGGTGTAGGCAACTAAGAGGAAAAGATAGAGATGATTTAAAAAAAAGCTGAAATCAGAAACCATTAGCATGCCGTATACAGCAGTTCCACGATATGAAAGCAGAATTTCCTGAAGCATATGATGCGTTCGGTAAAGTATACAATCTTCCTTCACAGTTTGCTTGCGTCAAGCAAAGTGTGAAGAAAATAAGAAAAAGGACTTACATTCCAACGACATATTAGATGTAATGCTATATCAGTTAGAACAAATTAAAAAACCTCAACATAAGCAATTTTTACGTGGCTGTTTAAACTTTGTTCCCATAATAACAAGTCATAATCCATATGGTATATTAAATAAGTATTTTCAAAATAATGAAGAAGCAGTACTGCATTTTGATGCAACGGGTAGTTTAATAAGAGAACCTTTTGAAAAATGTAACAGAATTTATTTATATTCAGGTGTATTGCCAGTCACCACAAGTACAGGTCGTTATACATATCCATTAATTAATTTATATCACATAAACATAATGTTAGAACGATCGAAAACAGTCTTAGAGATTGTGTAGATGAATTTGGTGGTCGTTTGAATTTTAATCGAGTCGTTTGCGACCACAGCTATGCGAGCATTCATGCTTTAATTCACACTTTCAATAATTCTAATTTAATTGATATATTAATAAATGTTATATGTTCTTAAATAATAAATTTTCCAACAATTTTACAGAGAACATAACATTGCATTTATGTTGCAGTCATTTCACCAAGAGACTGTCATATCATGCAAAAAAATTTGCAAACGGTAATAAGCAATTAGAATCGTTGTCGTTAGATCAATTATTTATCTTTTAGGAGAAAAATGTAGAGATTTGAACTATGCTCAAAAAATGTTTGCTCATATGTGTGGATTTTAGGTAGTGAATATCATAGTAAAGAAATAGATTTAGCAATCCAGGAATTAATCAGTTAGAAAATGAAGAATCATTAATAAGCCTCAACAAGACAATCTCAACGAATAATGATGAATTGGAAATAACAGAAGACCCTACATCATGTGAAGATATTTTAAAAAATAGTCTATTTAATAAAGACTTTTTAATATTAAATGTGAAATTGTCAAACATATGCCGAAGGAAGGATACAAAAATCCTTTCTTTAACCCGGCATTTTTAAATTACATTACAAACAGATACATTCCTATTATACCTTTGTGGTCAGGTCTAATGTTGGACAACGACAGAAAACATTTGTATTCAAATGCTGTTGTCGAATCTTATTTTAACACATTAAAGAACAATGTCTGCCATGGTGTTACAAATATGAAGATGGGACGTTGTATAAACATAATTGAAGACTATATCGAGTATTGCAATAATGATTTAATAAATAGATCTCCTTTATTACAGAAACCTAATTCTGAAAAAAGTAACGGAAGTTATATTAGAAAAAAGAGAAGAAATAGAGGTCAGGAGGAGAAGGTAAGCAGGAAGAACAATATTAAACGTTTGAAAAAAAGCAATACAAAGTCATTAAATGTAAATGAGGACCATGACATAACAACAGTAGATGTGAGAGATGCCATGGAAACATGGAACAAAAAATCTAAAAGTTCAGTAAATTTTATTTATGCAAGAAAAACACTTTTTCTTTAAATAAATGCTTGAACACGAATAACTCTGCCGACTCTGGTGCAGAATTAGTAATAGATTTGTATCATAACTGTGTAGCTAAAGATTTCCATTTCTTAAAATTTCATAAAATCCTACTTATATGATAAGGATATCTGTCAATCACATCTTATAGGATTTTTGGGTAAATATGCAATTAAATTGATTAATTTCTTCAGTTTGTATAAAAATGAGTGGTTAGATGATATAATCATCGACTCTCATTTAGCATCAATTGGTAATAATAACAAAAACTTCAAAATTTTACTGTTCATGAATATAACCATATTATGAATATTAAAAATGATAACTTTGTTCTAGATTTATCATCAGGTATAAAGTATATAGCGCCACATAATATCATCCCATTGGCTCTTAATCTTAATAGATACAGAAAAAAACATTTCAGTGTCATAATTCTTGTACTGATGATTTGACCGATTCCAAATTTTTGATCAATTTTGCAATAACTGTTTAACAAACACAGAAAAATTGCAATGGAATTTTCATAAAATAACTTCCCCTCAACAGAATGATACTCATAGTTGTGGGCTTTTCACAATTAAAAATGCATCCTGTCTATTACAGAACATTGATTTAAATTATAAAATGGAACCTAGTACATATAGAGAAGAATTAATGACAAACTTTTTAAAAAGTATCTCACCGGTACAAACATTTGTCCAATTTGCACCTCTTCTAGCGATTCGCTAACAGATCATCCTTCATATTATGCATGTACCAAATGCGATTCATGGTATAAACATGAACGAAATTCTGATTTATCACTAATAACATGCAAAAATAATTGTAATAAAAATTTAAGTCTTCTAGTGATTCCTGGATAAGCTGTGGGATGTGTAGTCGCTGGCTACATTATGATTGCGATAAAGTCTAGCTTCAAATCTTTATCGCCACGAGCTGTAGGAAGTCCTGACTTTAAATATTTTTGTACACTTTGTGTACTGCACAAAATGCACAAAACTTATACAAAATTACAAATTAAATAAAATACTGTCAACCTAAGAAGTGGATTGCAAGTGGAAAGACGAAAGAGATTTTTCTCTTATTAAAGAGAGACAAAATAATGTTTTCTGTTCTATAATCTTCTCTAACAAATACCATTACTTTCAGAAGTAAATTCTCTATTTCTCTGTCTCTCTATTCTCTATTTCATTTTAATATTGTAAATGAAATTAAAAACAGAGAATGCATATTGTCTTATAAAATATCCACTAAAGAGAAATAAAATTCTCTATTGAGAATGAGATATGAAATTCTAATATCTCATCTATTCAAAGACAGTATATAAATTAACAATCCACTTATACAAATTTATAAATTAAATAAAATACTGTCAACCTAAGAAGTGGATTGCAAGTGGAAAGACAAAAGAGATTTTTCTCTTATTAAAGAGAGACAAAATAATGTTTTCTGTTCTATAATCTTCTCAAACAAATATCCATTACTTTCAGAAGTAATTTCTCTATTTCTCTGTCTCTCTATTCTCTATTTCATTTTAATATTGTAAATGAAATTAAAAACAGAGAATGCATATTGTCTTATAAAATATCCACTAAAGAGAAATAAAATTCTCTATTGAGAATGAGATATGAAATTCTAATATCTCATCTATTCAAAGACAGTATATAAATTAACAATCCACTTCTTAAACAGATATTGCATTAGCAATATCTGCACACTGCACGTTGTTTAGCAGAAAAATATTTTTGGCAACACAAGTTCAGAAACCTTCTCGTGGTTGTTGCTGTTACGGATGTTAGAGTAATATATGACTTTGTTTTATGATTTACATTTGTTATATTTAATTCTATCATTCAACCGATGTCTGAACATGTAATGTAAGGATGTTAATATGAAATAAAAAGATTCATATTCAAGCGTAAATTTTATTTTTGACTATCTTGCATATTTGTATTTTTTTTCAGGGATTCAATTCAGATTCATATTCAGACGTAAATTATATTTTTGTCTATATTGTATTTTTTTTTCAGGGGTTGTATATATATTTTCAAAATGACTTTGTTTAGCATTCTATTCTTCTATAATAACTAATATATGGTGTGTACATATGTTCATGTTTATATATATATATATATATATATATATATATATATATATATTTATATATTTATTAACAAAGTCTAATAATCGGGCATAACATCAATAAAAAACATGAATTTCTTTCAAAAATTTATTTTAAATCCATACGTTTCGGATGTAATCCTAGCATTCATTCAGTGGAAAAATTAGTTGATCATGAGTTGATCTTAGTGTTAAATTGGAAAAATTTAATAATCCGTGGTATTAGGATATGGTAATGTACTACACTATGTATTATAAACATTAACTTGAAATTACACAATATTTTCACAAAATACTGATTTGAAAAAATCACAAATGGATCGTGTGTTATTCATAATATTGTGTAATTTCAAGTTAATGTTTATAATACATAGTGTAGTGCATTACCATATCCTAAAACCATGGATTATTAAATTTTTCCAATTTAACACTAAGATCAAATAATTTTTACACTGAATGAAGGCTAGGATTATATCCGGAACGTATGGATTTAAAATAAATTTTTGAAAGAAATTCATGCTTTTCATTGATGTTATGCCCGATTATTAAACTTTGTTAATACATATGTCAACATCTAATTCAGAATCATACAATATTTATATATATATATATATATATATATATATATATATATATATATAGATACAAGAAGAGTATATATATATATACAGTCCCAGCCAGGTCCTAGCCTATGGCATAGGTATATCTACAGTTTTGTTCTATGGCAACTTTCATTGGCAACACTGCTAGAAGGTGAAAGTGAATGGAAGTGAATTTTTGGAAAGTGAACGGAAGCAAATCTTTATTTTATTTTTGAGAGTTCACGCGTATCCACGAGTTTCCCTACTATAATAAATTAGTTTTTTGTGCAGACGTCCCGGAGTTTATGTAAGTTACTCTAATAATTTAGACATTTGTGCCAGAATTCTGATAAAGATATCTTTCCACAAGAGAGTGAATTATCAGTATTTACAAGTTTGTTTGTATTAAATATAAAGTTCTTCATTTATTATTACAGTTATTCACTATGAGTGGAAAGTTTGAAAATGTTAACAAATGCGCCATCCCTACTTCAAGGGCAAGTGACATGTGGCGTCAAAAACATTTAAATAATTTAAAATTGGCGAAGATTGACCACAACGTTATCCTCACTGGAGACTCCCTTATAGCAAACTTGGAGAGGCATCCCATTTGGGACATGTTTCAAGCATTTCAAACTGCAAATTTTGGAATCGGAGGCGATAAAGTGGAACATGTTCTTTATCGTTTAAAAAACGGCGAATTATCAAATCTGAAAACCAAAATTGTGGTCATATTGGTAGGAACAAACAACACGGAACATAGCAAACCGCACGAAATTTATGAAGGAATTATTAAATGTGTGAGCATCGTTAAAGAATTGCTTCCGAGTGCTCACATAATTTTACCCACCATGCTTCCCAGAGGAAGAGTACCAAATGCCCAGCGCGATTGCTTGGAAGTCGTCAACAGTTTATTAAATAAATTTAACAATATAAATATGAATAGAAGACATATTCACATAGTGCACACACATAGAAATATTGTGGATGAAAGAGGTTTCATAACAAGAGAAATAATGTATGATTATTTGCATCTCACAGCCAAAGGCTATGATCAATGTTTTCAACCAGTAATTGATTTAATCAGAAAAATATTGACTGACAAATGAAAACCTATAATATTTTGCTTAACAATAATAAATTTATTCTCTTCATACTTCACTTGAACGCTCAGTCATTATTTTTGTGATTAAATCGAGCACTGCCTCAAATCATTACTCATAGCCTTTGGATGATAGATGTAAATAGTCATACTTATTTTAAGTTATATTTTATATTTTGTACTACTTTATATCCACTAAAGGCAAATATTTTTTACAATATATGACTTTGTTACAATATATGACTTTGTTTTATGATTTACATTTGTTATATTTAATTGTATCATTCAACCGATGTCTGAACATGTAATGTAAGGATGTTAATATGAAATAAAAAGTTTCATATTCAAGCGTAAATTTTATTTTTGTCTATATTGAATATTTGTATTTTTTTTCAGGGGTTGTATATATATATTTTCAAAATGACTTTATATTCATAGTTATTTACTAATATTCATCACTAATTCAGTTATTGATAAGATAAATGTAAAAAAATTTGCCAAATAAATTCTGGCAGACCCGCCACTAATTTATGAAACAAAAAACACAACTTTCACTATGTAGAACTAATGTAAAACACAACATTATTACTTTATATTCATAGTTATTTATTAATATTCATCACTAATTCAGTTATTGATAAGATAAATGTAAAAAATTTGCCAAATAAATTCTGGCAGGCCCGCCACTAATTTGTGAAACAAAAAACACAACTTTCACTATGTAGAACTAATATAAAACACAACATTATTACTTTATATTCATAGTTATTTATTAATATTCATCACTAATTCAGTTATTGATAAGATAAATGTAAAAAATTTGCCAAATAAATTCTGGCAGGCCCGCCACTAATTTATGAAACAAAAAACAACTTTCACTATGTAGAACTAATATCAAACACAACATTATTACTTTATATTCATAGTTATTTATTAATATTCATCACTAATTCAGTTATTGATAAGATAAATGTAAAAAAATTGCCAAATAATACCGGGCAGACCCGCCACTAACATAACCTCAAGAACGATTTTTAACAATTGCAAAAAGTAGCCTGAAAACGTTGTCGAACTAATATAAAACACAACATTATTAATTTATATTCATAGTTATTTATTTATATTCATCACTGATTCAGTTATTGATAAGATAAATGTAAAAAATTTGCCAAATAAATTCTGGCAGGCCCGCCACTAATTTATGAAACAAAAAACACTTTCACTATGTAGAACTAATATAAACACAACATTATTACTTTATATTCATAGTTATTTATTAATATTCATCACTAATTCAGTTATTGATAAGATAAATGTAAAAAAATTGCCAAATAAATTCTGGCAGGCCCGCCACTAACATAACCTCAAGAACGATTTTTAACAATTGCAAAAAGTAGCCTGAAAACGTTGTCGAACTAATATAAAACACAACATTATTAATTTATATTCATAGTTATTTATTAATATTCATCACTGATTCAGTTATTGATAAGATAAATGTAAAAAATTTGCCAAATAAATTCTGGCAGGCCCGCCACTAATTTGTGAAACAAAAAACACAACTTTCACTATGTAGAACTAATATAAAACACAACATTATTACTTTATATTCATAGTTATTTATTAATATTCATCACTAATTCAGTTATTGATAAGATAAATGTAAAAAAATTGCCAAATAATACCGGGCAGACCCGCCACTAACATAACCTCAAGAACGATTTTTAACAATTGCAAAAAGTAGCCTGAAAACGTTGTCGAACTAATATAAAACACAACATTATTACTTTATATTCATAGTTATTTATTAATATTCATCACTAATTCAGTTATTGATAAGATAAATGTAAAAAAATTGCCAAATAAATTCTGGCAGGCCCGCTACTAACATAACCTCAAGAACGATTTTTAACAATTGCAAAAAGTAGCCTGAAAACGTTGTCGAACTCATATAAACACAACATTATTAATTATATTCATAGTTATTTATTTATATTCATCATTGATAAGATAAATGTAAAAATTTGCCAAATAAATTCTGGCAGGCCCGCCACTAATTTATGAAACAAAAAACAACTTTCACTATGTAGAACTAATATAAAACACAACATTATTACTTTATATTCATAGTTATTTATTAATATTCATCACTAATTCAGTTATTGATAAGATAAATGTAAAAAAATTGCCAAATAAATTCTGGCAGGCCCGCCACTAACATAACCTCAAGAACGATTTTTAACAATTGCAAAAAGTAGCCTGAAAACGTTGTCGAACTAATATAAAACACAACATTATTAATTTATATTCATAGTTATTTATTAATATTCATCACTGATTCAGTTATTGATAAGATAAATGTAAAAAATTTGCCAAATAAATTCTGGCAGGCCCGCCACTAATTTGTGAAACAAAAAACACAACTTTCACTATGTAGAACTAATATAAAACACAACATTATTACTTTATATTCATAGTTATTTATTAATATTCATCACTAATTCAGTTATTGATAAGATAAATGTAAAAAAATTGCCAAATAATACCGGGCAGACCCGCCACTAACATAACCTCAAGAACGATTTTTAACAATTGCAAAAAGTAGCCTGAAAACGTTGTCGAACTAATATAAAACACAACATTATTACTTTATATTCATAGTTATTTATTAATATTCATCACTAATTCAGTTATTGATAAGATAAATGTAAAAAAATTGCCAAATAAATTCTGGCAGGCCCGCCACTAACATAACCTCAAGAACGATTTTTAACAATTGCAAAAAGTAGCCTGAAAACGTTGTCGAACTAATATAAAACACAACATTATTAATTTATATTCATAGTTATTTATTTATATTCATCACTGATTCAGTTATTGATAAGATAAATGTAAAAAATTTGCCAAATAAATTCTGGCAGGCCCGCCACTAATTTATGAAACAAAAAACACAACTTTCACTATGTAGAACTAATATAAAACACAACATTATTACTTTATATTCATAGTTATTTATTAATATTCATCACTAATTCAGTTATTGATAAGATAAATGTAAAAAAATTGCCAAATAAATTCTGGCAGGCCCGCTACTAACATAACCTCAAGAACGATTTTTAACAATTGCAAAAAGTAGCCTGAAAACGTTGTCGAACTAATATAAAACACAACATTATTAATTTATATTCATAGTTATTTATTAATATTCATCACTGATTCAGTTATTGATAAGATAAATGTAAAAAATTTGCCAAATAAATTCTGGCAGGCCCGCCACTAATTTGTGAAACAAAAAACACAACTTTCACTATGTAGAACTAATATAAAACACAACATTATTACTTTATATTCATAGTTATTTATTAATATTCATCACTAATTCAGTTATTGATAAGATAAATGTAAAAAATTGCCAAATAATACCGGCAGACCCGCCACTAACATAACCTCAAGAACGATTTTTAACAATTGCAAAAAGTAGCCTGAAAACGTTGTCGAACTAATATAAAACACAACATTATTACTTTATATTCATAGTTATTTATTAATATTCATCACTAATTCAGTTATTGATAAGATAAATGTAAAAAAATTGCCAAATAAATTCTGGCAGGCCCGCTACTAACATAACCTCAAGAACGATTTTTAACAATTGCAAAAAGTAGCCTGAAAACGTTGTCGAACTAATATAAAACACAACATTATTAATTTATATTCATAGTTATTTATTTATATTCATCACTGATTCAGTTATTGATAAGATAAATGTAAAAAATTTGCCAAATAAATTCTGGCAGGCCCGCCACTAATTTATGAAACAAAAAACAACTTTCACTATGTAGAACTAATATCAAACACAACATTATTACTTTATATTCATAGTTATTTATTAATATTCATCACTAATTCAGTTATTGATAAGATAAATGTAAAAAAATTGCCAAATAAATTCTGGCAGGCCCGCTACTAACATAACCTCAAGAACGATTTTTAACAATTGCAAAAAGTAGCCTGAAAACGTTGTCGAACTAATATAAAACACAACATTATTAATTTATATTCATAGTTATTTATTAATATTCATCACTGATTCAGTTATTGATAAGATAAATGTAAAAAATTTGCCAAATAAATTCTGGCAGGCCCGCCACTAATTTGTGAAACAAAAAACACAACTTTCACTATGTAGAACTAATATAAAACACAACATTATTACTTTATATTCATAGTTATTTATTAATATTCATCACTAATTCAGTTATTGATAAGATAAATGTAAAAAAATTGCCAAATAATACCGGGCAGACCCGCCACTAACATAACCTCAAGAACGATTTTTAACAATTGCAAAAAGTAGCCTGAAAACGTTGTCGAACTAATATAAAACACAACATTATTACTTTATATTCATAGTTATTTATTAATATTCATCACTAATTCAGTTATTGATAAGATAAATGTAAAAAAATTGCCAAATAAATTCTGGCAGGCCCGCTACTAACATAACCTCAAGAACGATTTTTAACAATTGCAAAAAGTAGCCTGAAAACGTTGTCGAACTCATATAAAACACAACATTATTAATTTATATTCATAGTTATTTATTAATATTCATCACTGATTCAGTTATTGATAAGATAAATGTAAAAAATTTGCCAAATAAATTCTGGCAGGCCCGCCACTAATTTGTGAAACAAAAAACACAACTTTCACTATGTAGAACTAATATAAAACACAACATTATTACTTTATATTCATAGTTATTTATTAATATTCATCACTAATTCACTTATTAATAAGATAAATGTAAAATATGTGCCGAATAAACACTGGCAGGCTCTCGACACTATTTCAACATATCTTCGAACATATTTTGACACGGCAGATCATGTCGGTTGGTATCAATGTACTATGACATATGTAAAAATACTTGATTGTAGGTTAAAGATTTTTATGTCAAACAAAGATAATGCAAAATAAATGAAATTTAATTGAATAAATTATTATATTTTAATCATTTTCATAAAAAAAATTAGAATTTAAATGTTGGCCACGCCTTCGCCGATAGGCCACGCCCACGAAACTGAACCTGCCAGATGTGAGAACCTGCCAACTATATACACGTCATTTACTTTTATTATTTAACACATGGATAAAAGAAGAGTATGATTTAACATTTGAAGCATAGAGTTTGTTTGTAGCAGTAGCGAGAGTAGAAACATAGAGAACCTATATTGATTTTGAAAAGACGCGCCACGTTAAATAATGTCTCATCTTTCTAGAAATATACTCTCTATGCTTCAAATGTCAAATAGTAAATGTAATGAAAACTAAGTTGTAATTTATTATAATATATTTTTTATGAAAATATTTGAAAATGTCGGAGGAAACAATTATGCCTATGAATAATCAGGCAATTAAAATTGAGCCACCAGAATATTCGCCAGAAGACATTAAACTCGAAATGGAGGATGAATTTGATGATCCTGACGTTACTGTTAAATCTGAATCGTGTTCTGAAGATGATGATACGTGTTTACAAAGATTCATGAATTCCGAAGTGACAATTGAAGAAGAAGTCAAACAGGAGTTAGTCGAGACAACAACTTATGAATTTGACCTTTGCAATAGATCATTTGCAGAATCGAATTATTTAAAAGAGCATAGCAAAGAAAGATCTTTCAAATGCGAAATCTGTTACAAGGATTTTGATCAATTAAATGAACTAAAAAACCACATACTCATACACAGTGGTGAGCGCCCTCACAAATGCGGTACGTGCAATAAGAGATTCACACAATTATCTAATCTGAAAAGTCACATGCTCATTCACAGTGGTGAGCGACCCCATCGATGCAGTATATGCAATAAGACATTCGCAACAATAAATTATCTAAAAAAACACATGGTAATTCATAAGGGAATACGCCCCTATGAATGCAATGTATGCAATAAGACATTTACACATTTATGTAATCTGAAAAGTCACATGCTGATACACGGTGGAGTAAGTCCTTATGAATGCAATATATGCAACAAGACATACACAAGATCAAGTAATCTGGAAAGTCACATGCTGATACACAGTGGAGTACGTCCTTATGAATGCAATATATGCAATAAGAAATTTACACAATTAGGTCATTTGAAAAGTCACATGCCAATGCATAGTGGAGTACGTCCCCATGAATGCAATATATGCAATAAGAAATTTACACAATTAGGTCATTTGAAAAATCACATGCCGATACACAGTGGATTACGTCCTCATGAATGCAATATATGCAAAAAGACATTTATGAGAACAAGTGATCTAACAAAACACATGCTGATACACAGTGGATTACGTCCCCATGCATGTAATATATGCAAAAAGACATTTATGAGAAAAGGTGATCTGAAAAGTCACATGCTGATACACAGTGGTGTACGTCCCCATGAATGCGATATATGCAAAAAAACATTCACGCAATCAGGTAGTTTAAAAAATCACATGCTGAGACACAGTGGAGTACGTCCTCATGAATGCAATCTATGCAAAAAGACATTCACAGAAAGAGGTCATATGAAAAAACACATGCTGATTCATAAACGAGAGCATTCCTATAAATGTAATAAGGAATTTACTCAATCCAAGGATTTGAAGAGACACATGGCACTTCATAGTCAGAAGCCTGGTGAAAATCAATGAAATATAAACATTTTTGTTTACTTAAATTTTTAAATTTACTATCCAGAAATGTACTACATAATCTTCGGAAATATTTTAAAAATATGAATGTAAATTTACCAATATTATTGTCTGAGTAAATGTTTTAGAGAATTTAGTCAGCTATAACTTTGTCAAAGACTGTAATTAGTTATAGAAAGTAATTTATAAGTTATTAATAAAAATATTGAAAAAGCTTCACAATGTTCTAGTCTAGATATATCAATATTAAGAAACTTCAAAAATATATTAAACATAAAACCAGAAATTTTACAATATTTTTGTCTAAGAAAGTGTTTCAGAGAATGACAAATATACTAGATGGAAGCAAGCGTTTTGATACTTGAAGCCATATCGGTTCAATAAAATTTGGAATCATATCAGTCTCTTATAGTTCCCAGAAAGGTTCTGTGTTATATTTGGTCTAATGTATATATTAATTTAGATTATTATATCAATGTATATGTTAATTTAGATTAATATGACTTCTTGTTGAAGGAGTGAATTGCTCTACTCAAACTTAAAAAAAAAGAGTTTTCAGCCCTAAAAGTCACAAATAAAAGAACAATATTTTCAGAATTATTATATCACGCTTTAAAAACGATTAAGTTTTTGGTTCGATTGCAAGTGAGAGAGTATTTTCTATTTCGGAAAATTTTGTGAGTAAACAAAGGACACTTCTGAATAACAAATCGATAGACGTCCTCCAGCTTTTATAAATCATTTCATCGAACCAAAAAATAATTAAATATTTGAAATTAATTAATTAAAATTATTCGAAATAGAATAAACTAGGAGTTTTGTTTAATTGTTTTTAATTTCCCGAAGGAGAAGTTTATGTTTTTATCAAAAAATTCGACTCGCTAATTTTATGTTTTCTCGACGTTTCAGGCCATTCTGAATCGAATGAGACCAAATTTGAAAAAAGTATGCGTGCGCGAACAGATTTTTTGCCGTAAATCGACGTTTTCTCCAAAACGGATGGACCGATTTCAAAAATATAAAAGCCGATCGATGTATCTCGATGAGGACTAGCGTTTCTAAGTTTTGTGCGACGATTGGCCGGGCCGTTTCTTTGTAATTTGCAGAAAAGTGAAAAATTTTACGTCTACGTTTTAGCCCGCAATTCTGAATCGATTTTGAAAATTCAAAAACCATTCCATAGATATTGCTTGGGAATCGTGCTGATTAGCTTTGGTAAAGATCGACCCTAAGACAAGTCGTTTAATTTTGAAAAGTTTCCAAAGTTTGCAAAAATTAGTATAGTTTTTTTGGCATTTGTCAAAATTAGACTTTTGATCGACGTTTTCTCAAACCGATTTCACAAATTTAAAAGCCATTTGATGTATCTCAATGAGGACTAAAGTTTGTCAGTTTTGTGAGATAATCTGCCGAGCCGTTTTTTTTGTAATTTGAAAAAAGTGTTACACTTCTCGTCCACATTTAACCTCAAACTACCCAACCGATATTTATAAGAATTATATATATAAATTGAATTGCAAAGTTAAAATTATTTGTTTAAAGTATATTAGAACTTTAGTCAGAATTAAAAATAAAATCTGAATTATTTTCGATATACAAAAAAAATGATACAATTTTTTTTTCCAAAATCAATTATTTTGTTAAAACAAGCTAAAAGTTTTTTGAATCATTTCAATTGGACGCTTAGTTCTTTCAAAAACTGTCATTTTTTGCACATTTAGCTCTGTATCTTCAAAATGGCTAGGCCTGCCATTGCCAAAAACTAATAATCACTTCTCCCAATCATTACTAATTGAATGTTTTTTAGATCATTCAAATCGGATGCTCAGTTCACTCAAAAACTCGATTTCTATTTTCTGCACTCTTTGCTCCGTATCTCTGTAACGGCTGGACCCATAGGTCAGTAAACATAACGGCTGAACCTGCCTTCGCCAAAAACTAATCAGCACATCTCCGTATCAATAGAAATCGAATGTTTTTTGAACCATTCAAATCGGTTGATCCGTACGCCCGAAAACGTGGACGAAAAATTGTATCCATACATACATACACACACACACACATCCATTTTTCTTCTAGTTAATAATGGACCAACTTTGTTTGAAAACGCTCAAATGGCTGTCTAACTCTTAAATAGCTGCAAAAAAAATCTAAATGGCTCCCAAAAAAAAAAAAAATTAGATGGCGGACCCTTTAGATGAGAAGGTAGAAACAAATGATTATCTCATTACTACGATATTCTAGTTATATTGGAATAATGCAAATAAGAGAAAAAAAACGTGTACTTTCTTACGAAAGAGTAGTCACTTCAGATCCAATTATTAGGATTAAAAATTAAAAAAAATCATATACCGTAATTACGTTACAGTACAGTATTCTGTAGTGATTAACAAACTTATTAACACTAGAAACGAATTTAAGCACAGTTGAAAATAAAAGATAAAACTATTTCAAGTCTACTTCTCGTAATTGCGGGGTACTATGAAAATAACTGCACAAAATGTTTTAAAACTTACATAATGTTGAAAACTTGTCGGCCATTTTGTTGTACAATGACATTGATTTGTGTTTTTTATTAATACCTTTTAAATTATTTATTGTAACTAAAAACAGTTTTTGACAAAGCTATAGCTGACTGCTATTCCTGCTTGTATTTTTAAAATATTATACAATATTTCTAAACTTGCATAATGTTGAAAACGTGTCGGCTATTTTGTGATACAAAGACATTATTCTGTATTTTGATTAATAACTTTTAAATTATTATTTATAACTTAATAGTATCTTAAGAAAAAATGTAGTTGAATAAATTCTATAAAACATGTTCTCAGACAGAAATGATGTAATTTGTTTGTGCTTATACAAAGACATTATTTTGAATTTTATTATTAACTGTTAAATTACTTTTCATAACTAACTCTAGGCTTTGAACTTGCATAATGTTGAAAATGTGTCGGTCATTTTGTTGTACAAACACATTGTTTAAAATTAAATACGGTCTTAGAAAGTTAAAGCTACTTCTGACCAATTTGTTTTTGAACCTGAAACCAATGGTTACTAATCCACATTAATAATACTTAATTTATAAATATTAAATTAAGAATAAAAAATTGTGAAATGATATTGATATTATGTAATGTGTACTGTATATTTCATACTATTTCTACATGTCATTACATGCACGAAAAATTTACAATATTTCAATTTAAGTAAACAAATATGCTTATGTTTCATTGATCTTCACCAGGCTTCTGACTATGAAGTGCCATGTGTTTCTTCAAATCCTTCGATTGAGTAAATTCCTTATTACATTCTTCACATTTATAGGAATGCTCTCGTTTATGAATCAGCATGTGTTTTTTCATATGACCTCTTTCTGTGAATGTCTTTTTGCATATATTGCATCGATGGGGACGCTCACCACTGTGAATAAGCATGTGACTTTTCAGATTACATAAATGCCTGAATGTTTTTTTGCATATATTGCATTCATGAGGACGTACACCACTGTGTATCAGCATGTGATTTTTCAGACTACCTCTTTCTGTGAATGTCTTATTGCATATATTGCATTCATGGGGACGTACTCCACTGTGTATCAGCATGTGATTTTTCAGATGACCTCTTTCTGTAAATGTCTTATTGCATATATTGCATTCATGGGGACGTACTCCACTGTGTATCAGCATGTGATTTTTCAGATGACTTCTTTCTGTAAATGTCTTATTGCATATATTGCATTCATGGGGACGTACTCCACTGTGTATCAGCATGTGATTTTTTAAACTACCTGATTGCGTAAATGTTTTTTTGCATATATCGCATTCATAGGGACGTACACCACTGTGTATCAGCATGTGATTTTTCAGACTACCTCTTTCTGTGAATGTCTTATTGCATATATAGCATTCATGGGGACGTACTCCACTGTGTATCAGCATGTGATTTTTTAAACTACCTGATTGCGTGAATGTCTTTTTACATGTATTGCATTCATGGGCGCGCTCACCACTATGAATGAGCATGTGCCTTTTCAGATTACATAATCGATTAAAAGCCTTGTAACAGATTTCGCATTTGAAAGAACATTCTTTGCTATTACTAGGAATATGATCGGCCATATGCTTTTTTAAATGGTCTGATTCTGCAAATGTTCTATTGCAAACCTCACATTCATAAATTGATGACTCGACTAACTCCTGTTTGACTTCTTCTTCAATTGTCACCTCGGAATTCATAAATCTTTCTAAACACGTATCATCATCAGATTTAACAGTAACGTCGGGATCATCAAATTCATCCTCCATTTCGAGTTTAATCTCTTCTGGTGAATATTCTGGTGGTTCAATTTTAATTGCCTGATCATTCATAGACATAATTGTTTCCTCCGCCATTTTTATATTTTCACTGCTTACACTCAGAAAAAATTAACGAAAATAGTCGTGTGCTAAATAATAGTCTAGTTTAATCAATAATTATTTTCAATATGATCAATTATTTACACGTATATAATTGGCAGACTCACAACTGGTAGACTGATTTACTTTTATTATTTAACACATGGATAAAAGAAGAGTATGATTAACATTTGAAGCATAGAGTTTGTTTGTGGCAGTAGAGAGAGTAGAAACCCTAGACAATATTAGAATACCCCGTGTTCATTCGTGGTAGAAACATAGAGAACCATATTGAATTTGAAAAGACGCGACACGACAAATGTCTCATCTTTCCAGAAATATATCCTAGACAATATAATATAATAATAATAATATAGACGCATAGATAAGTAAACATAAGTAACAAAGTACACCTAAGTCTGTTTTTACACGGAGATTGGTTCCAGAAGAATCCGTGTAAAAAAAAAAACGTGTAAAAAAAGACATTGATCTTATACAAAAATGGGTGATTTGTTCCTAATCTCTAAAACCTATTAAAATTGGTAAAAAACAAGAATTTTTAAGAACAAGAATTAAATTAGTGCTATTCACATTTGCTTTGACCAGTAAAAATTGTTTGTACGCGCTAAAGGGGAATTCACTTAAATCTTTAAGCTAGTGTTCGCAAACTATCGATACTATCGATGGTTTCAGACTTTTTTCTTTCATAAATACTCTTTTGTGATATGAACATACTTCGCAAAAATTAAATTTGACAAAATAAAATTTAAGTACATAAAATTTCAAATCGTGCTAAATGGAAAAAAATTGTGTAAAAAAATTAACAATATTCAATTTTCAAACCGTGTTATATCAAAACCGTGTACAAAAAGACCGTGTAAAAACAGACTTAGGTGTATAGACGTTTCATTCTCGCGATATTTTGGTTCAAAAAATTAATTATTGCTACGGGCGTTACATTGCGCTTCGTTCGCATATCATATGCCATTCAAATTAAAGCGCCAAAATTTGGAAAAAAAATATGTGTACTTCAAAAATAATGTATTATTAATAAAAAAAATATATTATATATTACATAGTCTTAAAAATATGTTTATTAGAATTTGAACTTTGCATTGCAATTGTTTTACAATATGTAAAAATATAATAATAATAATAAAATCATATTAAGTAATAACAAAAACATTTCAATCAATAGTATATATCCTAGACAATATTAGAATACCCCGTGTGTATATATCATGATATATGCTAGGGCCAAATCATAATAATTTTTATTGGACTCTAACTTGTTACTACAATAATGTTAGTAAAATACAGTCATATGTCATTAACAAATTATAATACATGATTCAGAAATACGATATCTAATGATAATGAAATGAATTAAAATACAGTCTTAAGTATTCCTATTAGACGAAGTTAGAATATCTTCATTCAAGCTAGACTAGCATAAGGCAATGACTGAAGCATTAGACAATAATAATGCTTTTAATGAAACAATCGCACCTTCCGTTTTATCAAGCGTAATACACAGTACATTATGTATTACATAAATTCTATACTTTCTATTATATACACTACACTTCTTCTGCATTTAAGAGTCTTACTTTTCGTTTAAACAATAATTGAAATTTTATAAATAATTTATAAACAACGCCCTTAACAGAACAGTCACAAAACACAATAACAACCCCGATCAAAATAGCCGCCTGATGCTAGAGACAGCTAGAGAATTATCAACCTGTCACTTGGTATCGGCGCACTAGCGCCAAATTCTCACCTAGATGTCGATAATACGAAACATGGTTTGTGAACGAAGATTTTGTACTGAGTAAGAAGGCCCTGAAATATACTCTCTATGCTTGAATTGTCAAAAAATGTAATAAAAACTAAGATAAATTCATTTATTCATAGATAAAAGAAGAGTATAAAGATATAAGATAAAAGAAGAGTATGTATTTATTATATTGAAAAAAATTATAGATAGTACTAGAATATTATTTAGCACACAACTATTTTGAATTTTTTTTGTGAAAATATTTGAAAATGTCGGACGAAACAATTATGTCTATGAATGATCAGGCAATTAAAATTGAACCACCAGAATATTCACCAGAAGACATCAAACACGAAATGGAGGATGAATTTGATGATCCTGACGTTACTGTTAAATCTGAATCGTGTTCTGAAGATGATGATACGTGTTTAGAAAGATTTATGAATTCCGAGGTGACAATTGAAGAAGAAGTCAAACAGGAGTTGGTCGAGACAACAACTTATGAATATGACATTTGCAATAGATCATTTGCAGAATCAGACCATTTAAAAAAGCATATGGTCTATCATGTTCCTAGTAATAGCAAAGAATGTTCTTTCAAATGCGAAGTCTGTTACAAGGCTTTTAATCGATTAAGTAATCTGGAAAGGCACATGCTCATTCACAGTGGTGAGTGTGCCCATGAATGCAATATATGCAAAAAGACATTCATGAGAACAGGTGATCTTACAAAACATATGTTCATTCATAATGGATTACGCCCCCATGCATGCGATATATGCAAAAAAACATTCACGCAATCATGTAATTTAAAAAAACACATGCTGATACATAGTGGAGTACGTTCGCATGAATGCAATATATGTAAAAAGACATTTACACATTTATGTAATCTGAAAAGTCACATGCAGATACACGATGGAGTACGTCCTTATGAATGCAATATATGCAACAAGACATTCACAAGATCAAGTAATCTGAAAAGTCACATGCTGATACACAGTGGAGTACGTCCTTATGAATGCAATATATGCCATAAGAAATTTACACAATTAGGTCATTTGAAAAATCACATGCTGATACACAGTGGAGTACGTGCTTATGAATGCAATATATGCAACAAGACATTCATAGAATTAAGTAATCTGAAAAGTCACAAGCTGGTACACAGTGGAGAACGTCCGCATCAGTGCAATATATGCAACAAGACATTCACAAACTCAAATAATCTGAAAAGTCACATGCTGATACACAGCGGAGTACACCCTCATGAATGCAATATATGCAAAAAGACATTCACAAAATCAAATGGTCTGAAACGTCACATGCTTATACATAATGGTGAGCGTCCCTATGAATGCAATATATGCAAAATAACATTTAAAGTGAGTGGTCATCTGAAAAACCACATGCTGATTCATAAACGAGAGCATTCCTATAAATGTGAAGAATGTAATAAGGAATTTACTCAATCAAACTATTTGAAGAGACACGTGGCACTTCATAGTCAGAAGCGTGGTGAAGATCAATGAAACAAGCATATTTGTTCACTTAAATTAAAATTTTGTAAATTTTTTTCCATGTAATGAAATGTATAAATAGTATGAAATATACAGTAAACACTATACTATATGGATATTATTTTATAATTTTTTATTTATATTTTCATTTTTATACTTTATCACAAGAAAACGGCCCGGTCGATCTTTACCAAAAACTAATCAGGTCATTTCCAAACCAATATGTTTCGAACAGTTTTTGAATATTCAAAATCGATTCAGAATTGCGGGCTAAAACGTGGACGAAATTTTTTTCACTTTTCTGCGATGTACAAAGAAACGGCTTGGCCGATCGTCGCACAAAACTGACAAACAATAGTCCTCATCGAGATACATCGAATCATAGATAAAAGAAGAGTATCGAATGGCTTTTTAATTTTTGAAATCGGTACGGCCGTTTTTGAGAAAACGTCGATTTACGGCAAAAAATCTGTTCGCACACACACACACATACTTTTTCCAAATTTGATGTCATTCGATTCAGAATGGCTTGAAACGTCGTGAAAACATAAAATTAGCGAATCGGATTTTTTCATGAAAACATAAACTTCTCCTTCGGGAAGTTAATAATAAATCAATTTACTCATTTTTTTATTATTTTTGGTCAAACTAAAGACTTGGACATTATTGTAACGACATGATTTGAGTCCATCACATATCAAATAAAATTGCAGCCCCTAATTATGGCCAAGGGAAAAAAGCTACTACTATTCGAGACTTGTAATTAATCAATCAATTAAAATTATTCCATAATTATATGTAATTAATTTAATACAAAATTTGTATTTTTCAATATTTCAGCCTTAATATTAAACTATTTGCAAAATATTCTTTATAACTTCCCGTAGGGTAGTTATAGTAATGGGCCAAAAATCAAAAATGAAAATTTTTGCTTTTCTCGACGTTTTGAAAGTTTCTGAACATTTTGGCTTACCTCAGAAAAAATGGACGTGTGTGTGTTTTGTATGTCCGCATTTTTTGTCAACGTTTTCGGTCGCACGGACCAACCGATTTGAATGATTTAAAAAACATTCGATTCCTATTAATAGGTAGATGTGCTGATTACTTTTTGGCAAAGGCAGGTCCAGCAGTTACGGAGATAAAGAGCAAAGAGTGCAGAAAATAGAAATCGAGTTTTTGAGAGAACGGATCATCCGATTTGTATGATCCAAAAAACATTCAATTCGTAATGACGGGGAAAAGTGGTTATTGGCAAAGGTAGACCCAGCGGTTTCGGAGATACAGAGCTAAATGTTAAAATAATGGCAGTTTTTGAGAGAAATAAGCGTCCGATTTAAATGATTCAAAGAACTTTCTGGTTGTTTCAACAAAATAATTGCTTTTGGAAAAAAAATTTTGTTTCTGATTTTTTTCAAAAAATATTTTTGTAATTTTGGATTAAAAATTCAAAAAATTACCCAGGCTAATTACACAGTCTAAGCGCCACTCTGCAAATGTTTACCCAAGTGAGTTTAGACTGTTTATGTATTTGAGCACTTTTCCAATTTTGTGAAAACTATTGGAAAATGTGAAAATGCCTCCAAGCTAAGCACAGTATAAGTGAAAATGTCGCACAGAATTATTTGCAAATGCGTTTAGACTGTGACTATACGGGAGCACTTTTTCAATTTTTAATTTTGTGTAAATTAGGCAACTAT